AGAAGCTGCGGCGGCACTTGGAGCTGCTCCCGCCAAGGTCCCCAAAGGCGCCGTGAAAGTTTTGGTGCGTCCCGCCATTTGCGCGCGCGGCTCCCCTCGCCGCCGCTTCCTGCCTCCCTCTGCTCACTGCGGGGCCGCCGCCAGCCCAATCAGCGCCCCTGAGCAGGAAATCCGGCGTGAATCCTCGGCGGCGTCCGGGAAAGCACTGGCCTTCCGCCCCATCCCGCTCACTCGCCGCTTCCTGCCTCCCTTTGCTCACTGCGAGGAGGGAGAAGCTGCGTGTTGCAAGGAGCATGCGTGCTCGGGGAGGGGGGGATGGCGCGGGGAGGTGGCTGGCCTGGCTGAGCCACAGCAGAGCACAAGCGGGGGACTCCGGCTCCTTCTGTGCGCTATGCAGGCATGGGAACTGGGAAGGGGGTGGCGGCGGAGGAGACGCGGCGGAGGAGACGCGGCGGCAGCAGCAGGGGGATGCCCGGTCAAGGGAGGAAGCTAGCTGGCCGGCAGGATGGCATCGGCGGGAGGCAGCCGAAGCAGCAGGGAGCCCCGAGCGCCCCCTCCGCAGCAGCAACAGCAGCAAGAGGCCTGCTTAATCCTCCAGGCCCCGCCGGGAGGTTGGCATCAGCTCCACAATGTTGGTATTGTGGTGGGCCCCCTGAGAAAAAAGTTGTTAGCTACGGGCCTGAATGCATGCCAGTCAGGATGCTCTACCACTGAGCCACGGCCCCTCCCCAACATTAACTCTGTTAATATAAAAACTCCTGGATGCTTTCTTCTGAGGTGAGACATCAAAAAGAACTGTGGTTTGCCCTGACCCAAGCCCAATCTCATCAGATCTCGGAAGCTAAGCAGGGCCCACCGGCCCCTCCCCAACATTAACTCTGTTAATATAAAAACTCCTGGATGCTTTCTTCTGAGGTGAGACATCAGAAAGAACTGTGGTTTGCCCTGACCCAAGCCCAATCTCATCAGATCTCGGAAGCTAAGCAGGGCCCACCCTGGCAAGTATTTGGATGGGAGACCTCCAAGGAATACCAGGGCCGGGAGGCAGAGGGCAGGCTGTATCAGCCGCTTCTCTGAACATCCTCCATGCCCCACTAGGTGTCGCCAGAGGTCACCACGATTTCCAGGCACGGGCGCATGCACACACGTGCGCGTGCGCACACACAAATACCAAAAAGAAGTGTGGTTTCTTGCCTGGGTTTCTGAGTGAAATTTCTATGTCATTAGCTTTTACATTTTCAGTGAGATTTTGTTTTGGATTTTGCCTGGGCCAGTGCAGCTGCTTACGACTTTTTGGGAAACATCAAGTAGCCAAAAAAATCCCTTTGCATGCGGGATGCTGGTTTTTAATTTAAGCGAGTTGCTGGAGCGAAATCAGATGTACACACCTAGGCCGCCTGGCAACGACTTGACCATGTTCTTCAGCTGGGCGATCTCCAGAGCTTCCCAAAGCGTATCGTCTGTACATTTGCACTCCGGATCCAGGTTAAAACTAAGGGGAAAAGACATTCAGAGATGCTCAGCAGAGGGTAACCGAACAGGCATCTTTGTCTACTCTGGGCCGTGTTGTTGTCCCATAGGGTTGCCAACCTCCAGGCAGCACCTGGAGACCTCCTGCTATTCCAGTGGATCTCCAGAGGACCAAGATCAGCTCCCCTGGAGAAAATGGCCACTTTGGAAGGTGGACTTGTATCATGCTGAGGCCCCTCCCCTCCCCAAACCCCGCCCTCCTCAGGCTCCACCCCCAAACCTCCAGGTATTTCCCAACCCAGAGCTGGCGACTTTAGTATTACACCGTGTAGTGACGTTTAGCTAGGGCCACTCGTCCAGATGGAAACAAACTCTGTCCTAAGAAGAAGAGATTGGATTTATACCCCGCCCTTCACTACCCAAGGGAGTCTCAGAGCGGCTTACAAACTCCTTTTCCCTCCCCCTCCCCACAACAGACAACCTGTGAGGTAGGTGGGGCCGAGAGAGCTCTTGACAGAAACTGCTCTTTTTTCAAGGACAGCTCTTATCAGAACTACGGCTTGCCCAAGGTCATCCAGCCAGGTGCAAGTGGAAGAGTGGGGAATCAAACCTGGTTCTCCCAGATTAGAGCCCACGCATTTAGCCACTACACTAAGCTGCAAACCTACTTTTGATTTATTGACATTCACCACAGAAATCTCATGCTCGGAGTTCTGAATCTAGGACCCACATTCAGGGGCACTAATCCTCTGAATCCCAGAGCCAGGAGGCGACATCAGGGGAAGGTCTCAGAGAAGAAGAAGAAGAGATTGGATTTATACCCCACCCTTCGCTACCCAAAGGTGTCTCAGAGCGGCTTACAAACTCCTTTTCCCTCCCCCTCCCCACAACAGACACCCTGTGAGGTGGGTGGGGCTGAGAGAGCTCTTGACAGAAACTGCTCTTTTCCAAGGACAGCTCTTATCAGAACTACGGCTTGCCCAAGGTCGTCCAGCCAGGTGCAAGTGGAGGAGTGGGGAATCAAACCCGGTTCTCCCAGATTAGAGCCCGCACACTTCACCACGACACCAAACTTGCAAAGTTCGAGTCCAGTGGCACCTTTAAGACCAACAACGTTTTGTCCAAGGTATGCCTGTGCACACACAGGGTGATTTTTAGAGTCCGCGCACTTAACCACGACACCAAACTTGCAAAGTTTGAGTCCAGTGGCACCTTTAAGACCAACACATTTTTGTCCAAGGTATGAGCTTTCGTGTGCACACACACACTTTCAAACACCTCTGTTGGTCTTAAAGGTGTCACTGAATTCAAAGTTTGTTCTGCCGCTTCAAATCAACACGCCCGCCCACCTGGATCCGTCCTAAGGGAGATCTTGGAATGAGCTATTGGTACGGATGCTCCCTATCTGCCCCTCCACTGCTCCTCCTCCCCCTTGGAAGTGACATAGTGAGGCAGATGCCACCATTTAAAAAAAAAAAATTCTCCCACCTAGGGTTGCCAACCTCCAGGTGGGGCCTGGAGATCTCCCGCTTTTACAACTGATCCGCAGCTGGGCAGAGATCAGCTCCCCTGGAGAAAATGGCTGCTTCGAAGGGTGGACTCTATGGCCTTGGACCATGCTGGGGCTCCTCCCCTCCCCAAACCCTGCCCTCCCTTGGATCCACCCCCAAAGTCTCCAGGTATTTCCCAACCCAGAGCTGGCAACCCTACTTCCGCCAGCCCTATATTGGTAAAACAATTAGCACCCATCAAGTATCCTGGCTGCAGCACTTTGTGAGGGCTGAAGTTCCCCAATTGTATTTAATGGCAGCGCCATGAACAGCACATTACAGTAGTCTAGCCCTGGATTTGCAATTACGTCTCGATGTAGCCGTTTATGTGTGGAAGGCAGTTGATCGAACACACTTCTGATCCGCTTTCCTAACAGGAGAAGCAGACCCCCCGAGAACTGTTTACACTAGTAGTCACTGACATCTTTGTCTGTACCTTGCTTTTCTTCTCAACAGAGACCCCAAGAAACTTACATCATTGTTCTCCCCTCCTCTGTTTGATCCTCACAATGACCCTGTGAGGTAGGGTTAGGATGAGAGTCTGTGACTGGCCAAAGGTCAACCAGCGAGCTTCATGGTAGATGAGGGCAGAGTGGGGATTCGTGCCTGTGACTCCCCAGACCCAAGTCTGACACTCTAAGCAGTACACCCCACTGACTCATGATAGGGAAAGCCCATCAAGGGAGGGCATTGTAGTCCGTGCTAATACATCAACAACCAGAACCCGGATTTGGTTTTCAACTCATTCTCTCATTGGCTCTTGACCACAGCATCAAAGCACTGGCCCCCATCTGTGCCATAAAACATAATGTTGGGTACTGGAGATATCTCTCCTTATATATAATTGAATAGTGGGTGCCAAAGTTCTAATTCTAAAATGCACTCCCTTAGTGTATGGCTGATGGCACTGCTCCTCAGCATATATCGCCACCAATCAGAAGGCAAAGCCCGGGTCCCGCCCACACCACAACTGCTGCGACAACCTGGTCTTTTGCATATGGAAGCTGATTGGACTTCAGTCCATTCCACACCTCAAACTCCCCCCCCCCCGCAAGGCAGTTGGGATTTTCAGTTGCATAACATACCTCCTAGGGGAGAGGAGAATGGGTAACAATGGTTACCACTCTCCAGGTGAGGGCTACAGATAACTCAAACATACAAATGCTCTTCAGGTAGCAGAGATCAGTCCCTCTGGAGAAAACAGTGGACTCTGTCATTAAACCCTGCTGAGGTCGCCACAGGAAACTGACACTGTTTGCCCAAAGCCAGAGCACTCTCCCAGAGCCTCTTTCTAGATCTCGTTGTATTTATTTCTGCAATGGGCATTATTTCTAGTAAACTTTATAAAGGACAGCAACCAGTAAGCTCTGAGTTGGTGTGGCCTCACTGCAAGGCCTCGTGGGCTGGGAGGAGGGTGCAGAGGAAAGCCCACATGGGTGGACTGGAGAGCCAGCAGTGCAGGGATGGGCAGACGCTCCCACGCCCCGAGGATTGTCTGCCCACCTCCCATGTGCAAACACTGATCCCTACGGCCATTCGGGACAGCATTTCCAGAGATGCAGGCCAGTGGAGAGGTAAGAATGCAGCTGCAGTGGCTCCCGACTTACCAGTCCCTGAAGTGAGGGGGTTCCACTTGACTGCTGCAGAAGAGGTTGTCCCACCGTGCTGCAGCCACAATCGGAGTGGCTCTGCCCACCCACCCCCGAGCAGCCTCCTGTTCCCTCCCTTGCACTAGTTGCTTGCGGGCTGCATAACAGCCCTGGATGGGCCAGTTCCAGCCCCCGGGCCTTATGTTTGACACCCCTGGGCTAGACAACAAACCACAGAGTGTTTGTTCCTTACCGAATGGAACCGCTGAACAATATGGGGTCTTGGAGGATTATCGACAGCCTGGAGCGCAACATGTTGAGGGGCAGCTTTGAAATGTCGATCCCATCGATAACAATCTTCCCTGTATGGAATGACAGAGAGCAAGACAGGTGAGATGCAGAAGGGAACAGGTGGGGCTCTCTGTGTCCTGATATGAAACAGACCCAAGGGCGGAGAGTAGCTAGGACTGCCAACCTCCAAGTGGGGCCTGGAGATATCTCCAGATGACAGAGACCAATTTCCGTGGAGAAAACGGCTACTTTGGTGGATGGACTGTATGGCGTTATATCCCGCTGAGGCCTCTCCCCTCTCCAGGCCCAACCCTATCCAGGTGCTACGCCCCAAATCTCCAGGAACATTCCAATATGGAGTTGGCAACTCTAAGAGTAGCAGGGGTAAACTGATGACCATTTAGACCAGGCCACAGATTTATATAAAGGCTTTACAATATGGCCAGATGGGTATTATTATTAGTCTACCGTAGCAAATGGAGTAGAAGACCAGTAGTGCTGTAAAAACTAATGGAGGGGCCACGGTTCAGTGGTAGAGCATCTGCTTGACATGCAGAAGGTCCCAGGTTCAATCCCCGGCATCTCCAGTTAAAAGGACCAGGCAGGAGGTGATGTGAAAGGCCTCTGCCTGAGACCCTGGAGAGCTGCTGCCAGTCTGAGTAGACAATACGGACCTTGATGGACCAAGGGTCTGATTCAGTATAATTCCAGGTGGTCCGCCATGTTGGTCTGAAGCAGTAGAACAAATTTAGCATCCGGTTGCACCTTTAAGACCAACAAAGGTGTATTCAAGGTCCGAGCTTTCATGTGCATGCAGACTTTTTTTTTTAAGTGTGCGTGCACACAAAAGCTCATACCCTGAATAAACCTTTGTCGGTCTTAAAGACGCCACTGTTTGTTCTAATTCAGTACAAAGCAGCTTGCGTGAGTCTGACTCACCAAAGCACGTGCTGGAATAAATTGCGTTATTCTTTTAGGTACCGTTGGACTTCTGCTTTATTTTATTATGGTACTGGCCATCTTATTTGGAATCTAATAACCCCTTGCGTGGAACAATTCTAGAACGAGCAATACAAAACGAAACCCAAACATCTAACGAAGATCAGCAGCAAAGAAACACGTGGCCTCCAAATCCAGGGGTTCGCCCAGCCAAACGGGGAGGAAACGCTTCTGTCAGACGATCTGTTTCTGTCAGACGATCTGACACAGAGCCCCCCCCCCCCCGGGGTTTTCTCTTCTCTTCTGTTTTCTGCTTCCCGTAAAGGAAATATTTTGATTCTGCAGCACATGATTAATGATGGCCCTGAAGCAGAGACTGAGCAGCAGTGAATGTAGCTGTCATGATCACGGGCTGATTCAGCCCCGGGGGAAAAGGATCTGCTTTCTTGCCTGTTTCACCTCTTCGTTTGGGATGACGGGCGGCGTAAGCCCGGAGCCGCAGGCAGAGACAGACTGGAAGCAAATAAATTCCTAGCCGTCCTTGTGTTATAGATGGGTTTATACAATGGAAATGGCAGGGAAGGATCCTGGATGTAAGGATGGATGGACCTGGATGGTACAGGTTAGCCCGTGTTATAGATGGGTTTATACAATGGAAATGGCAGGGAAGGATCCTGGATGTAAGGATGGATGGACCTGGATGGTACAGGTTAGCCCGTGTTATAGATGGGTTTATACAATGGAAATGGCAGGGAAGGATCCTGGATGTAAGGATGGATGGACTTGGATGGTACAGGTTAGCCCGATCTCATCAGATTTTGGAAGCTGAGCCACATCAGCCCTGAATAGTGCATGGATGGTGTGGTATATTGGGACTATTGCTTTAAGGACAACTCCCTGGAGGCTTCTAGAATGGTGAGGCTCAGGTCTTGCAACCATAACTGGAGGAGGAGTTAGAGTTACTGAGGCCTAGTTGTGGCCTAGGGTTGCCAATCCCTAGTTGGGGGGCAGGGGATCCTCTGGTTTGGAGGACTACCCCCTGCTTCAGGGTTATCAGAAAGT